TCATGGCTAAATAAAGACTTTAGTTTCTTTGGTTTTCTTCGAAATGCCCTGATCTGAAAAGCTACATGCATGTAGTTTCTTTGTCAGTGAATGTGATTACTTCCTGCTACATTTAGGCCCTGGGCCCAGCTACTAAATGTTGTTTGCAGGATGTTGAATTTTCATGGATAACATGATCTTCAGATTTGAGGTTGCAGCTTGAGCTAAAGATACTCCAAGAATGGAAAGTTATGCTGGGCATCAGTCAAGATCATTATCTAGGCACTGATACAGTCCATTTAGTTTCTCTCGAGATAAATGAGTCTTTGGACTGAACCGCAATACATGTAATACTGCCATGTAAAAGTTTTTGATATTTTGAATACATTTGTTAGGATTGCCTGAAAATTCTGCTTATTATTGATACCTGATTTTATCGTGTTTTTTTTTTTGCTTCCTTTCTAGAATATATGTAACAACATAAGGTACCGGTATTAAACCACACTAAGGTACCAGAAACTTAAATGAAATGTAAAAAAAACCAACAATTGTACATATTTTTATTAAAATATTAAAAAGGATGCGACAGGTCGGAGAATATTTTAGCAAAAATTCCAGTCGGCTGTGTTTTATATAACAAGTGTGGTCAACTGTCCCGCTAGTATCAAGACTTAAATGTGTGCCACCAATCAATGTTATAGAATAGGATGACCCACCCCCTCAGGGTAGCTGACAATTGCATGACCCACCCCTTGCATAGGCTAAAAACCTCATGATCAAACCCCTCTCTACTCTGGTCCACACCCAGCCCCCCGCCCCCCTCCCTCCACGGCCTATACTTTTTGACCAGTCTTAAAGTAGAGGGTCCACAATAGGTTTGGTGGGATTTGGGATTTGGCTATTTTTGGGGGTGATACTCGGGATGCAAGCTAAAAAAAGGAGCGGGATTTCCCTTTTTTATTGGGTAGGGATGTGGAAATCATAAGTGAAAAGAAGCGGGATACAGGAATTAAGATTTAACATGACCGGAATTTTTATTTAATTAACCAGCACTGGCTTAAAAAAATGACTCTTTTGTGTCGAACACTTTTATAGTAGTCACCAAAAAAAGGTCGAAGCCTGTCAAATTTTCCATTATCACCTTTGCATGTCTTTGGTATTATTTCTGTATTTGGAAAAGAATGCGTGTGCTAACGGTCAGGGGAGAGGCCTGGAGTGGGGTCGAAAAATATAGAGTTAGACTTAGGAGAGAAACAAAAAAATATGCAGTTTTATACAGTCTTTGCGTTGAAATCAGTTTACGCCATTATTTTGCACCGTTTACAACTGATTGTGAGGGGAAAAAAGACTGTTTTGCAAATTAGAGCAGGTCGCATGCACCTATTTTTGTGCAGAGTTAAGAAAGGAAGAAAATAAAGAGATTTTAAACAGGAATGGGTACAAGTAGCACTGCAAAAGAGGAAGAAATCAAAGACCAAGTCCAAGAAGGGTGGGAAAGCAAACTTTCTGCTTTCTGCTCTGCATTTGTTATGCCGTTCGATTCCACAGCAGGTTTATGTTTCCATAAAAGACAACATTTTCTCAGACTATGCAACCAGCGTGTTTTTTCATATACAATTTCCATGACCTGCAGTTAATGTAGACAATTGGCATCATCGCCTAATGGAATCTAGCAGTAAAGCAATCAAAAAATCCATCTACCCAACTCAACTACCTGTTTTCCAAAAAGTCAGGACTCAGATCAAAGTAAAACTTCTTGTTTGTACTGATGCGCAGACAAAACAAAGCAAATCATAAAATAAAGTCATGGTCGTTAATGGTAAAGTCAAGAACCTTAAAAATCAAAGCTGCCTTAATTGCAAGAAGGTTAGTCTTATAAACGTTTATTTCAATAATGAAATCAAGATTGAGATTTGGATGTAAAAAGGGCAGGATAGCGGGATTAAGAAGAAAAAATATTATAAGTGGGGAGGAGGGATTTCAGAACCCTACTGTAGACCCTCAAAAAAGTGATAAATGGCACTTTAACTTTGCCTTACAATGAAATGTGAACAATCACCTTTCCTTTAAAGGTGTATTTTAAAGAATGTCAACCCAATTTCAACATTAATGCTTTTTTTGAAATGAGTATTTATCCCACAGCTATGCTGACATAAGGAGGGGAGTCCTGGACTCCACTGTCTGAAGATACTGAGGTGTACTCCAGGGGGTTAAGTAGTCCCTAAACTGGTTCGCCTAAACTGGTTTGTGCCGCCAAACGGGGTAAGGTTTTGAAGGTCTTAAATATTTTCAGGTTATACACTTTCATTAAATAGGATGAAGGTTGAAGGCCTTGACAGTACACCAAACTTCCCTTCAGTGTCCCCCTGCCACCCCAGGGAATTTTATTACTGAACATTGTTTTTGTAGCAATCAAATTCTGATTGTAACAAATTAATAATGCAAAATGACTTACCAAAGCTTGGTACATGGCTCCTTGACCTCTGAAACCCATGCATCATAAGAGTTAAACTGTCTGTCTGTATAATGAAATCAAAGGCAATGCATCAAGACAAAGAACAGTCTTCCCAGTTACATTTAATAAAACCAGCACTGTAGCAATGCCTGGATGATGGTATACCAGTCAATATACCCCCCCCACCACCACCACCACCACCACCCACCCCACACCTCTAACCAAGCATGCATGTTCTGTAGCAGGGCATTTCACTGTTGGCTTTGCAAAACTTGACCGTCTCCAGTATTTTGAAAAAGAAGAAATAATAACCGTTTTTCCATTTGTATTTGTAACAACTTTCTAGAGTTCCCATTTAGTTTAATAGTTGAACCCCATTGATAGGGAATTCAACGTGCTATAAGAATTTGGTGGTTATCAACCTTAATTCTCATAATTTGATCCATCCATAACCAGACATCATTGATGCACATTTCTTCAAGATTTCCACAGGTCAATGGATTTTAAATGAAATTGTCACATTCTTCACTTCTTACCAGCTGCGGAATCTGTTACACTCCGTAGATGTGTACATGATCACAAAAAGCATTTTTCAGTAAACTTTGCAGGGGCCAATGGGTTTATGAGGTGGCTGCATCAGCAAGGGGGTCATATTTCATGGCTAATTTTTTTTCTGGTTTTACAAAAGGAATTGCAACTCTTTTTTAGAACCTCTCATCTTATTTGGATCCCTACAGTTGTACGTATAGTAGCTCTTTTTGTTCAGGTCTATAAATCCCATTGTTTGATTTAATTCCAGAGAGGCCTTGAATGAGCTGAAAAATCACCAATATTTGCACATTATAGCCAATGGCTGAATTACAGGGCCTTCAATGAGAAATAGAGAGATGTACAATTAAAGAGGCTGTATCACCTGAAGAAATATGGAGATACCAAAGCGGAATTCGATAATTGTTTTATTATTCACTTAAAATAATTTCTAGTTTAAAGACAAGCCAAAGCATGCTTACCTCCATCGACATTAAGTTCATCTTTGATGGTGCACTTAAATCGGCAATTTTAGGAGCTAAAGGGTTGTTCAGCTCCTGAGGGGGGGGTACTCCCATACATTACCTATATGGGTATGTGCCGCCCAACAGGGTCGTGATTTTGAAGCTCCTGATTAGAACGGGGTATCCATTTCAGAGGCGTTTTCTAGAACGGGGTAATATATTTCGAACGTACGAAAGCTCAAGTTTTGTAAGCATCCATTTGAAATTATTCAAGGACAGATTGCTTTTAAAAATGCGATTCAATGCGTTAACAAGCAAACTGTCGTACTCTTGTTGCACCCTGTGTTTTAGCATGCAGGGTGGGCGTATTTTGGTGCGAGCCGCGAGGGCTGACTCCGCCATCTTGGATAAATAGGCACGCGGAAGTCTGGAACGAGTCCATAATGTACCCGAGGGAGATGGAGACGGGCTCAAAAGAAAGGCACAGGGGAGGAGAAGGAAAACGTTAGCTTACGAGCGTGGTTCTGTGCATGGTGAGAGATTTAACCGCATTGTATCCACATCACAGGAAACGTACTCCGGATGATTTGTTTCACTATCGAATTCAAAGCTGCATGTATATGTAGCAATACAACTTTAAAGGAACAGTATCCCGTTACTGCGCATGCACCAAACTTTGATTTTTGGACAGGATGTCGCAAAATCAAAAGACGCGAGGAGAGTAAGAGAACCTTGAAAAATCCGTTTGCATCGCGCTTGGCCGGGTTCAATACGACAATTAAACTTCTCAGGATTACAGATCAGTGATATATTGTTCCGGTTAAGTTTCAATTTGGGCAAAATCTGGATTTTATGGCGTTACTTTCATTGCCGTTGGCCGGAGGACCAAAAGATTGGAAGCACTTTGATGCCAATTGAAGGCTTATTTCTTCTGCTAGCTTCCATACAAGCTCAGATAATTGTGAAAGAAATACGCAGAAATGAAACAGAAACAATAGAGACTGTAAGAAAGAAACCATTGATACATGGATGTGACTGAGGAGATCTTGTGGAGGGGAGCTTCGCGAAGCAGAATGTTTTGCAACGACGCGTTAGTAAACTTTTAAATGAATCTTCCTACGGCCGACAAAATCAAACAAACAGGCGCTACATGTTTAGAAAAACTAGTGCCCTGAAATCATAATATAATTTTTACTAACCTTTGTGATGATTCATAGCGTTGAGATTGCATTTTTCTGTCTTTCAAAATTTGAGGCTAGAACGCGAGCAAATCAGGCAGATATTACTGGACTTGGCACAATTGACCTCTGACACGAGTTTCAGATTTGAAAATATGTTTTTAAAGCGAGCGAAACGAGATTTTCGGGTCGCGAGGCGGCCCAGCTAGCGATAAAATCGCGATGAGTCTTCGAACCATGAGCCAAATATTTATATAAGACGAAAGACTTCTTCGATCGCGAACGTCTAAAATATTTAATACTTGAGAATATAAACAACAAAACCCTGTTGGCAGTGCGGTCCGGAAGGAGATCTTGTCGAGTCAGTATGACAGTTCTATTGTCTTTTGAAGAAAAAACATATGACGCTCGCGTGCGCATAATCGAGACACTGTCCCTTTAAAATAACAAATTATTAGCTACGATTGCACTAGAAAAAAGAAATCACCACTTTAGTGATCACCCCGGCCGGGAGAAATGGGATAGAAAGAAATTGTAATGTTAATAAAAGTTTTTAACACAATTCAATAAGATGGGAAATAAAAAATTGGGATCACGGCTTTATCTTCTGCTAAAAATTGTTGCTGATTATGAAGAAGCATTTATTTGATGTATAAGTCGAACAAATAAAGAAATATCTTTTTTAAAAAACAGGGCTATTTCAATTTACAAACTCTCTAGAACGGAGTATAAAATATTGGCCCATTTCTAGGGTATCAATTTTGGGGGAAATTTTTTTTAGAACGGGGTGCCAATTTGGAGTCCTGGGTGGCACATACCCACCCAAAAGATACCCAAGTGCCCCCCACCCCCCCTTCAGGGTTCAGCTCTGCAAATATTCCCTAAATAGCAGATGTCACCCTTTGAGTTGTCTTCTTGTTGTTTTTTCTATGTTTTTAGCCAATAGTTACCTATTTCTTCCTGGTGAAACGAGTGAAATGTCTGCCATTTTTGTTGTCACTACCAAAACAACTCAAACTCATCCTAAGGTCTTCTCGGTTAAAGGTTCAATAATCTGCAACTTTGCTGCATTTTTGACGTCATTGGTTCAATATGGCATGCAATAGCTGGTTATGGTGAATTATGCGTGGGATTTTTGCCAATCAGAAACAGAGAAATATTTTGAATGAATAATAATCATATTCATTTTATTTGCCAAGTGCCAATTTTTAATGCATGGTCAAGTTTCCCCATTTCTTTTTCGTTTACTAAGTGTTTATTTCTCCCACACAAAAATAAGAAGTTTCATGTCAGTTTCATATCCAAAACAATTGGCCACTTGCACTAAGAGGTCACGTGACCAATGCTTCCTCTAAAAAATGAGTTGGAATCCTGCCGATGCCAAAAATCGACAGAGCACATAAAAATTATCTTACACCCGAAATTTGAGATGGAACGCATTTGAGGGAGATGTTTTATGGCACTTTGACTTTTCAACAAAGTAGTACGATTTGTATTGGCCGCCATGTTGGAGGGCATACTGTTGCCCTCCAACATGGCGGCCAAAACTACTTTTTGCTTATATCTTGTTAAACGTTTGATAGTTACGCTAAGATGTGCTGTAAACGTTACCACATCATCTTTTCCAACATTTTCCTCAAAGTTTAAGTGCAAAATTTGTGTTCAGAAAGAGGTAATTCATAATTTTTTTTAAAAATCACATTTTGGTCACGTGACCATCTACGAACTTACTCATTTTAAGAAAACGGTGCGGGTTTGAAAAACCAAATGACTATTATTTTGTTTAACCCATTTGCCCCTGAACCGCCCGTAACCGCCTGTGCGGATCCAGGTCCTTTCTACCCTTTGTGACGTCATCAGTTTTAACGGTCAAGGACAACTTTCTTCGCTAACTTGTGCAGAGTGAAGAGATCTTTCAAACCATTCCAGAATGAGCACAATTCAGTAAAGGACACCGGAGAAAGAAGCAAAAAACCACGTGACATTGACCTGAAAATCTCCAAGGCAAGAAAAGCGAAAAAAGAAGGGAGGAGAGAAAGCGAAAAGTAAAAGTCAAGACTGCTGTGTCACTTTTAAACCCAAAAACTTTGGCTTTCTGCGTATGCCCAAACTTCGCAAGCTGATATTTTGCATCTGGATCAGAAGGCCGTCAAGTGTACGACCTGCAAACCGGTTGGTGGTAAGTTTTAGCTCTTTATAGCACGACAGTGACCAGAAAACCACTCGACTAGCTTCAAAACGCGTTTTTCGGCAAAATCTCCAGGAGCGAATGGGTTAAGATGTGAACCACTAATCGTTTTTCGAAGGCAAAATCATATATGTTTCATTTTCATAGAAACGATGTCACATGACCTCTTAGTGCAAATGGCTTGTTATCATTTGGGAAATCAGAAATTAACAACCTGAGTCTGACGTCTGTCATTTGCCGTAATCGAGATTCTAACTCTGTCTCAGTTAATGTGTGACCATTTCGCAGGGGCAAATCAAAATGGACAAACAAACAAGGTGCCCGCAAAAACCTTTGGTAGTCGTAATAACGTTTGGCTTGCTGCACTGTATCGCAATTTGCATGCAAGACGAATTTCTCTTGAGTCACGCGATCTCTCAGCGTTTACTCGACTGCAGAAAGCTGAAAGATCATCGCTTGCAAATGCCTTAATGCCTATCAGCAAACTGAGAAGGTGATTTTTCTGCTTCTAAAAAAGACTTAAGACTAAAGAGAAGCCTTAGAAAAATAATCTTAATTCATGGGAACAAAGTTAGATAAAAATTCGACAAGCATACCTAAACTTCAGGAGTCCTGCAACGAAAATGCAGCCACGTGGAAGCTATTTTGCACTTCGATCTCGTCACAACTACATAACTAAACGCTTGGTGAAAAGACTGCATCAGCCCA